GTTATTCCTCAAAGAAGTTACTTTGGAAAGGTATACACCTGATCGCATTATACTACTGGTGAAAATACTTAGGAGGTTCAAGTCTCTTTATAAGTATGCCTTTATTTTTCAACTACAAATTACTCAGTTTGATCACCCAGCTTCTAGTGTCTTTGGACTGTTTTAAAATATTGTATCTACTCAGGAGAGTAAAAATGTACTTTCTCTAAGGTTGTACCATGAACTCTAAAGCCAGTACAGAAGATAGATCCAAAAATCATTTGAGGAGTAGCTGCATCCTTGGAATAACTAGGCAGTTTGCCCAGGTGACTGTTAAGGCTGTCAATGCATTTGACCACTTCCCCAATCTCTCTTCCTCTTCTCTCTCTCTCTCTCCCCGCCCTCCCCCCCGCCCCTGGCGTGTGTGTGTGTGTGTGTGTGTGTGTGTGTGTGTGTGTGTGTGTGTTTTACAGTAGTGGTAATAGATTTGAAACAAGACAGGGCAATTTCAAAGTGTTGAGTAAGATTTAAAATACTATAGGACAGCTAAAAGAAGTTTTAAAATAATACTACCCGGCATACATTTCCTAGTATAAAAAAATGAAGTATTTTACTTCCAGGGTCTTTGGATAAATACAATCTTTATGAGCTAGGCTAACAATCACAGTTTCTACTTTGTTTTGTCTCATGAGAAAACGTAGTCTGATTATCAGTTGGGGATCTTTTGAATGTCTTCCCACTTGCTCCTAGATTTTCTGGCAAGATGATAATTACCACTCGCCGTGGCACAAAGGGCACTCACTCATTTGTTGAAAGTGTGTTCATTGCTACTGCAGTCCCGCTACTCCTAGAAACCCTCAAACTATATATGTGCCTGTGTGTCTAAGTGTAAATATGTATGCACACATTTGCATTGATGTTTATTTTTATATCTGTATTTATAGAATATCATGAGGTCTGGCCAGGGATGGTGGCTCATGCCTATAATCCCAGCACTTTGGGAGGCCAAGGCGGGTGGATTGCTTGAGGTCAGGAGTTCAAGACCAATCTGACCAACATGGTGAAACCCCGTCTCTACTAAAAATATAAAAATTAGCCAGGCGTGGTGGTGTGTGCCTGTAGTTCCTGCTACTCAGGAGGCTGAGGCAGGAGAATCACTTGAACCTGGGAGACGGAGATTGCGGTGAGCCGAGATCACGCCACTGCACTCCAGCCTGGGCTGGACAGAGTGAGATTCCATCTCAAAAAAAAAAAAAAAAAAAAAATCTTGAGGTCACATTGATACCTCCAATCCCAACCTGGTGGCATGTTCTTTTCCCCCTTTCCGAATTTGTCACTCCCTCCTCCGACAGTGACAACCCTGGCTTCCACTGTCCTCCACTCATTTATTTATTTTCTCAATCCCCTAACCTTCAGCTGCTTTCACCTCCCAGGCACTGCCTAGTGGCTTTTTGACTGAATTAGGAAGGAAGGGAGAAAGAAAACAAACAGCAATTTTTCTTGAGCATGTAAACATGTATTGTGAATTAAATTAAATCGCCTCAAATAGCCTAAAGTGCAGCTATAGATCGAGTATACATGATTGTTTGAAACCTTGTAAACTCCTTAAACAATATATCAACTATACTTGAACACAGTGGTTAGCACATTTTAAAAATAGCTTACATATGCCCATTTTTAAAAATCAAGCTTTATGTCCATTATTACTGTTTTTGAGATAGAGTCTCTGTTACCCAGGCTGGAGTGCAATGGTGCGATCATAGCTCACTGCAGCCTTGACTGCCTGGGTCAAGCTCTCCTCTCGCCTCAGCCTTCTAAATAGCTGGAACTACAGGTGCATGCCACCATGCCTGCTAATTATTTTCTTCTAGAGACAAGGTCTCACTACGTTGCCCAGACTGGTCTGGAACTCCTGGCCTCAAGTGATCCTCCTACCTTGGCCTCCCGAAGTGCTGGGATCACAGGCATGAGCCACCGTGCCTGGCCATTTGTCCATTAGTTTTATACTTTTAAAAACACTTTCCTACTACTATGACTATATTTGTTTTCATATTCTCCTAGATATTCAGTTATACTCTCCTTTCTGGGCTTGCAGTAATTTTACCAAGATTAAAAGGAAAGAACTACCCACTCAGGCTAATTGAAGGAGCAAGATCTGGGTTCTTGACTGATTCTTAGGACAGAGGGCCTGGCAGCACAGTCCAAGCTGCTGCAGTCATGGACCACGGGCCCTGGACGAAGTCCTTTGTTATAATTAATTCTTCCTTGCTTTGTCTTGGAATTTTTAATATCTTGCCATTTCTTCTTTCATTTTGGAAACTTGGTGTCCTTCCCAGAAATGGATGCTTTCATGTTGCATAGTCAGCCTGACCTACTCATTGTCTTGCCTTTACGATCTATTGATCTTGTCCATTAGTGTAATTGAAAACTTACATATGCTTTATGAATATCTCATATAACTAGGATCATTTCAAGATTTTGTCTAGTAAGAATCATCAAATCTGTGTGGTGAATGCTTGTCCCTGGGATATTTGGCTATTTATCTTTGACACAACTGCTGGATCCTCTTCTGTTTGTGATCATATATGATTAAGAGGACTCTTATTTCTATTTATTATATGTGATCACTGATGACGATTCTATTTTTTTGAGACAGAGTCTCAGAATTGTCACTCAGGCTGGACTACAGTGACACGATCTTGGCTCACTGCAGCCTTGACCTCCCTGGCTCAAGCAATCCTTCCACCTCAGCCTCCCCAATAGCTGGGACTACAGGCATGCGCCACCATGCCTGGCTGGTTTTTTTTTTTTAGTTTTTTTGTAGAGACAGGGTCTCACTCTGTTACAGCTCAGGCTGGTCTTGAACTCCTGGCCTCAAGTGATCCTCCTTCCTCAGCCTCCCAAATGCTGGGATGACAGGTATGCACAACTGTGCCTGGCTTCTTTTGTCTTTTTGTACTATGTTTTCTGGTTTATTTTATGATTTTCTTTATTCCTGTGAGGATAGCTAGAAACAAACACATGTCTATGGTTTATGAAAATGTGTTATTCTTCACACAACAAACAAAATATCCGTACATATATGAATAGTCCCTTAGCCATATCCTATAATCATCTTAATTTTGTATTACAACTCCTTTTTCTCTTGGAATCTCCATGAAGGTGTGTCCCTTTATAGACTCACCTTACAATTTTCATCTCCTTTTTTGAACGCTCAGAATATTACAGCTTGGCTGGTGGAAGTCCTTCACACTTATTCTTTTGTTTTTGTGGGGTTTTGGTTTTTTAAAAAATAAAATACTGCTTTTGACAGTTATGGCAGCATCCTTACTTTGTTATAAGAATAGGATGTTTGGGGCCATCCTAATTTTTTTTTTTTTTTTTTTTTTTTTTGACACAAGACATAGGACTGTGCCTTTCAAGGAGTCCTGGTTTCTTTTTTTTTTCTTTCTTTTTTTTTTTTTTTTGAGACGGAGTCTCGCGCTGTCGCCAGGCTGGAGTGTAGTGGCGCGATCTTGGCTCACTGCAAGCTCCACCTCCCAGGTTCACGCCATTCTCCCGCGTCAGCTTCCTGAGTAGCTGGGACTACAGGCGCCTGCCACCACGCCCAGATAATTTTTTGTATTTTTAGTAGAGACGAGGTTTCACTGTGTTAGCCAGGATGGTCTCGATCTCCTGACCTTGCGATCCACCTGCCTCGGCCTCCCAAAGTGTTGGGATTACAGGCGTGAGCCCTGGTTTCTTTTTTGATGAAGAATAGAAACAGATGATCTGGCACTAGAGGTGCACAAGAGAGTTGCTAGTGGACAAAAGTGTCCTTGCACTGGTAGTAATGACAGAGCTAAAGAATGTGAAATTATCCTTGTTTTTCCATTTCAACCCTTTATGTGGTTCTACCTTATTTTTCTTACAAGATCTTGTTAATCTAGAAATATTTTCATTACACTTGCAAAGATTAGTTGAGATATTTTCTTTAAAGATAAGAGTTACGAATGGGGATTTACCAGACCAGATACCAAAACACACCTTCAAGCAATAGTAATTTAACTGGCTCAATATTGGCTCACATTGATCAATGGAGTGGCATATAAAGTCCAGAAAATGACTGATTTGCATGTCAAAATTTACAATGATTGAGGTGGGATTTTATTTTATTTCAGATCAGTTAGGAAAGGATAAACAATTCAGTGAAAAGTTTTGGGGCAATTGGAACCAAACAAATATATATTCCTCTGTGTAAGAATAATTTCCAAATTTATTAGTGTTCAGCATAAAAGTAAAACTGTAGAATTATTAGAAGAAAATATAAGGGAATATTTCTATAATCCTAGGGTTGGAGGAGGGCTTTCCTAAGCATAACAGTTAGCCCAAAATCTATAATGAAGAAAACTGACCGATTTAACTAGAGAAAATTAAATGCTTCTGTACAAAAAAGATGTAAGAAAGGTTAAGTGTCACAGACCAAGGCATATTACATATACAGCAATACCTGGATTACATACAGAATATCTGTAAATCTCAATCCAGTAAAAAAAAAAAAAAAAAGTATATGAACAGGCAATTCACAGAAGATGGAATAAAAATGGTCCATCAACATATGAAGAGATGCTCACTACTATCAGGAAAATGCAAACTAAAACAACAGTGAGGTAACTTTACACAAATATTCACAAGGCAAAAATTTAAAAGACTGATAATGGCTATAGTTGGTGAGGATGTAGAGAAGCAGGTATTATATATACAACATCAGGGAAAGTGCAAATTAGTAAAGCCAATTTAAAAACATTTTCACACGCTCTAGAATGGATATAACAAAAAAGAGATACAATAACAAGTGTTGACTAGGATGTGGAGAAATTGAATCCCTTGTTTCATTGCTGGTGAAAATGTAAAATGGCGTAGGTACTTTGGAAAAGTTTGACCGTTTCTTAAGAAGTTCAACATAGATTTATCATATGACCCAGCAATCCCGCTCCTAAGTATTTACCCAAGAGAAATGAAAACATACACCTACACACAGAGTCTTGCCCACAAATGTTTATAGCAAGATTATTCATAATAATGTGTGGAAGAACCTCAAAGGCCCATGAATTGATAAATGGACAAGCAAATGTGGTATGGCCACACAGTAGGATATTATTCAGCCATAAAAAGGAACAAAGTACCGATAAATGCTACGACATGGATAAATCTCTGAAACAATAAAACTTTTAAAAATGCATGTATCTTTTGACACACCAATTGCATTTCTAGGAATGTGACCTTAAGAAATATTTATGTGCATAGAGATTGTTCTTCAAAGACATTTGTAGCCAGGTGTGGTGGTGTGCACCTGTAGTCATAGCTACTCTGAAGGCCAAGGTGGGAGGATCACTTGAGCCCAGGAGTTCCAGACCAGCCTGGGCAACATAGAGCAAACATTTCTTGGGCAAACATATTTTGTCTCTGAAAAAGAAAAAAAGAAATATTTACAGTATTTGTCATAATTTATCTTGCAAACCACCTGCTTATCTAGTCGTTTGCTAGATTAAGTATAGTACATTCCCATTCTCTTTATGTACTATAATGCAGCTTTTAAAATAATATATTATTATACCTATACATAAATAAGGCTTTGAAGCTATACCCCATGAATATGTACAACTATTTTGTATCCAAAATAACTTAAAATAAAAAAATTATAAACTAAAATTCCTGAAAATAAGTATTGACCCAAATAGCCTATAAACTGAAAGAGAAAATAATATTTCTCTTATAACAGTTTCATTTTTCTCCCTGAAGAAACCTGAAAACATTTACGGACGGATGTTTTTGGTTTTCTGTTTGGATTGACCTGAAATAAATTTTTTATTGTCAACAACAAAAAAGCAAGCTGCAGAACAATAGACATATGATCTCATTTATATGAAAAAAAATTTTAAGTATTCATATCCATTCATCTATACAAATGCTTGCAAATAGGACTGGAAGTTTACCTAACATATTAACAGCGGCTACTTCTAGGGGAGGGAAGGAATTTAAGGCCAGAAATAGAGCAGCTTCTGTATGTAATCTGTATATTTGTGATCTTTTTTTTCCCCAAGACAGGTTTTCACTGTCACCCAGGCAATGAGTCGATCACAGCTCACTGCAGCCTCAACCTCCCAGGCTCAGGTGATCCTCCTACCTCAGCTTCCCGAGTAGCTGGGGCTACAGGTACTCACCACTACACCTGGCTAATTTTTCTATTTTTTTGTGGAGATGGGCTCTCACTATCTTGCCCAGGCTGGTCTCAAACTCCTGGGCTCAAGCAATTCACCCTTCTCAGCCTCCCAAAGTGCTGGGATTACAGGTGTGAGCCACCGCACCTGACCACTATTAGTATGTATTTAAAATTGCATACAATCAGAATGAGTCCTTGATTCACTAGTGTTTAAAACGGCATAAAAGCAAAGCTTAGAAAATAAGTCTGCTTAATACAAAACCATCCCTTAGAATCTAAACACTGTTAATTTCATAATAACTGGCGTGTACAGTGAACACCCACAAGAGCAGTTTCAATGTTCCCCAAACATGCAGACCTATAGCTGAAATCATCGAAGGAAAAACAGGTCTAGCGAAAAGATAGAAACTCTGATTCCAGAGCGGCACTGAGACATGTTTTGACCTTTTGCCAACCTCCTAAGGATGGAACAAAGACCTGGGCTGGGGCTCCTCATAAGTGACCCGAGGGGTGTAGACTTCGCCATGAAAACAGCATTGCCCTTTAGAGTTTTCTGCTGCTCCTGGGACTTCAGTGACTGTAGTTCCAGTCCTCTGGTTTTCCTCCTATTGTTTTCATTGGCCTGGGTCTAAGTGACTTGGAAGTGAGGAATCGGGAGCTCTGTAATGAAATACTGCTACATGGTGCGCGCAGGGTGTTGGCGGAGCTCCAGCTTGGCCGGTGAAGGTCTTCTTGGCGGATGTTCTCTCTTGGATGACGATGGAATTCTCTTTCCCTTCTCTCTTGGTACCAGGTGGGGCCTTCATCGTATTACTAAGAGTCGATTTATTACTCTTTCCGCTCCTTCTGGTTGAATACTTGAGATAGACGCTTAGGAAAGGAGCTAGCCAAGCCCTGGAGAAATGCTGACTCTTTGGATTTAATTTATGAGGCCTAATAGAAGCCGTCACAGAGGTTGGCTAAGGGTAGAATTAGCAGCAGAGAGTAGCGGCTGCAGCCTCCCCTGTTGTGACTTCAGGATTGAAGCTTGAGGTGCAATCTCATGGGGACCTCCTTGGTTGGTTGTCCATGGTTATTTACTCATTTAAGAGATTCCAGGAAATAATGGCACCTGTGTTAGCCAGGTGCCAACAAACAGTGAAAGCAGCATGATTAAAAAACATGTACTGTGAGGCTGGGCACAGTGACTCACGCCTGTAATCCCAGCACTTTGGGAGGCTGAGGTGGGTGGATCATTTGAGGTCAGGAGTTCAAGACCAGCCTGGCCAACATGGGGAAACCCTGTCTCTACTAAAAATACAAAAATTAGCAGGGCATGATGGCGCGTGCCTGTAATCCTAGCTACTTCTGGAGGCTGAGGAAAGAGAATCGCTTGAACCCAGGAGGCAGAGGTTGCAGTGAGCTGAGATAGCGCTACTGTACTCCAGCCTTGGTGACAGAGCAGGACTCCGTCTCAAAAAGAAAAGAAAAATGCCACCCAGGAGGGAAATACCTTACACAACAGGCTATGAATCAGAATCAGGGTTTGTAGGAGCCTCCATTAGAGCTGATAGCCAGCCTATAAGTTCAACGAAGCAAAAGTTCACTGTGCAAAGCCACATGCGTGAAGGGAATATTCTAGCCGCTACAATGTGGCTTTAATTCAGTGAGTTGGTGCTTTGCCCTCTAGGGGGACTTGCTGGAGTTTGCTGTCTTTCTTTCCATTCCCTTTTCCTTCCTCAGTGACTTAGGTGTTTCTCAGAGATAAGCAGTCAGATCAATTAGGCACACGTGCTTACTGAATATGTTGACAAGATATCTCGCTAGGAGCTAGTTCCAGCCCTGGAGGTGTTTGTAATCCTGTTCAGAGATGAGACGTTGCATACGATGTAATAAATAACAACAGACATGAAATAAAATGCCACATGAATACTTCGAAGATAAGAACTATAGGAGCAAATTAAGAAAATACACATACGAAATCAACTGGTTTTATTGCTAGATAGATCTCCGTATTAATGTTCTACGAGGGAAGCCGTGGAAATTAATGGTTCAAATGATGTTTTAAATTAAATGTAAATTTTGTTTCTTCTTGATCTCCCCCTCTGCTTCCCAGACTGTTCTTCAAAAAAACACAACTGAACAGTTTGAAAAGCCAGGTTTTTGTGAGTAGCAGTAATAGGACACTGGGGAGAGGGAGAGCAGGAAGTGGGAACGCCAAATAGGCCTGCTGCCTCCCGGATGCACAACCGCTTGCAGTGTTGCTAGGAAACACCTGTCGTTTATTTCCAAAGAACTTCCTGAGGTGCTGGAGGTTAGGCTACGGGTGAGTTTTGATTTGCGTCCTAGCATTGAAATCTGAAGACCTGTGTGGTTTGCTGTGGCGTAATCAATAACAACCAAATGGCAGGCCGTCCCTGTGCACATGCTGCGGGTACCTGGTTGCAGGAATGAATGGGGCTCTGGGGAAGCGCGTGTTTCCTGCTCAGGCTGTGTGTTTGTCCATTTTCATCACAATGCCCCGCGCTGGGAATATAATGCTAAGCAAAATCATAGCCCCTGCCTTTTTGGAGCTTAAAATGGAGTGAGGAGACAAATATTATTCAAAGAATCACAGAAGTGCATGGAAAATGACAACTGTAGTGAGTGGTACAAAGAGAAGGGCAGGGAGCTGTGAGAACGGGTGCCTCTGCACCTAATGGTTGATGAGCAGAACATTAGTCTCCAGCCATTGCCGCTTTCCATGTGCCAGGCACCATGCTCAGTGCTTAACATTCGGGACCTAATGGAATTCTCACCATATTCCTATGGGGGCAACACTATTGTCACCTCTACTATAGAGGAGAGGGAACTGAAGGTCACCAAAGTTGAATACAGTGGTCCCTGCTTCTCTTTGGGGTAAATTCCAAGACTCCCAGTGGGTGCCTCGAATCACAGATAGTACCAAACCCTTTATATATTATGTTTCTTCCATCTGATAACCAAGACGGCCACTGAGTGACTAATGGACCAGTAGTGTAGACATCGTGGATATCCTGGACAAAGGGAAGATTCCCATGCTGGGTGGGATGGTATGAGATTTCATCACACTACTCTGAATGCCCTGTGATTAAAAACTTATGAATTGTTTATTTCTGGAATTTTCCATTGAATATTTTCAAACCGTGGTTGACTATGGGTAACAGTCAAACCATGGAAAGTGAAATCACATATTAAGGGAGACTACTGTAACTGAACTGAAGGCCTTCTCCTCCAAAATTTCACTCTCATCCACAGTCCCAGTCTTCGTAAATGGCACCACTCTCCATCCAGTCCTGTAATTTGGAAATTTGGGAGTCATCTTTGACCCAGTCTCACCCTCCATATCCAATGGAGTTCTTCCCACTCTAACTCATAAATATCCAGTCAATTTCTCTACTCCTCTGCAATCTCACTACCCATATTAGAACAGCAGCTTCCTAGTGGTTCTTCCTCTCACTTTTGCCTCAATCTGCTCTGTGCTCTCCAAAGAAGACCGAATGATCTTTAGCAAAGGCAAATTTGACTGTGTTCCTCCCTTGCTTGAAGACTTCCCATTGATTTTAGGGCAAAGACTAAAATCCTTAACATGGCCTCCAGGCCCATCATGTTCTGGCCCCTGCTTGCATCACCAGCTGCTCCTCTTGTACCTCTGCCTTTGTTCTCCTTGTTCCAGACTTTCCAGCCTCCTCTCTGCTTCAGGGCTTTCCCACCTACCAACTGCCTTTCCTCAAAGTTCTCATTCTCCCCTTTGTGCTTAGTTAATTCATGTTGGACCCTTAGATTCCCAACTTCCTTAGGGAAACTTTCTGAACTGTGCAGAGCAGGTCAAATCAATCTCATGATACAGTTTTACTACTTCTTTGTAACATTAGGTAAATTAATCCTTGTGTAATTAATTAATGTCTCTCTTATGTATATGAGCTATGAAGTTGGGTATAATATCTGCCTTGTTCACTGCAGTATTCTCCATTTAGGGCTTGGCGGCATACAGTAGGCACTTAACAAACATTTGTTGAATCAATGAGTGAACTTCCCAGAGTTCACATGGTCAATATATGACAGAACCAGGACTCAAACCCAGTTTGACTAATATCAAAGTTTATGCTTTTAAAATATATGGCAGAACCAGGACTCAAACCCAGTTTGACTAATATCAAAGTTTATGCTTTTAATCACTGTATTCTACTATTGTCCTCTATGCCACCACCGTGATAATATCTTAAAGACATTAAGAGCTTCAGCACAAATTTACTGTATACAGAATGAACCCGTATGTTCTTTTTAATAGAATGTTGGGCAGCAGCTGCCTCTCAAGGTGACTCTATTGCTTTTTACCTGTTCTCATATGTGATTCTACTGAAGTGAACTGGGAAAAGAGCTAGTGATAAAAATCAAGAGGTCTAAAATAATTATTCTTAGTCAAAAAGAAGACAGATTAAAAATTATTCTTAGCCAAAAAGAAGATAGATTAAAAAGAGTGGAATTTTAATTGGATAACCTAGAAGCGGTGGATAAATTCCTATACACATATAACCTATCAAATTTGAATCATAGAGAAGTAGACAGTCTGAAGAGACCAGCAATGAGTAAGGACATTGAATCAGTAAGAAAAAAACAAAAAACAAAAAAGACCCAATTCTCTCATCAAAGAAAAGCACAGGGTCGGGCATGGTGGCTCACACCTGTAATCCCAGCACTTTGGGAGGCTGTGAGCAAGTTCAACACCAGCCTGTGGAACATGATGAAACCCCTTCCGATTAAGGGTAATTGGTGGCTGTCCTGGTTACTCGGGAGGCTGAGACAGTAAAAATATTTGAGCTCAGGAGTTTGAGGCTGCAGTGAACTATGACCATGCCATTGTACTCCAGCCAGGGTGACAGAGTGAGACCCTGTCTCTTAAAAAAAAAAAAGTAAAAAGCTCAAGACCTGATGGATTCACTGCTGAATTTTATCAGACATTTAAAAAAGAACTATTACTGACTCTTCTGAAACTCTTTTTGATAGTTGAAGAGGAGGAAACACTTCTTAAATCTTTTTACAAGGCCAGCATTACCTTGATATCAAAGCCAAAAAAAGACATTACAAGAAAAGAAAATTACAGGCCACTATTCTTGATGAACATAGATGCAAAAATACTCAATAAAATGTTAGCAAATGGAATTAAACACATTAAAAGGATCGTCCACTATAATCAAGTAGGATTTATCATTGGCATACAGAAGGGGTTCAACATACACAAACCAATAAATGGGATATATCAAATTAACAGAATGAAGGACAAAAATAATATGACCATTTCACTGAATAACAAAAAAGCATTTGACAAAATTCAATGTTCTTTCATGATAAAAAAAAAAAATGCATACCAGCTACTCTGTGCATGTTGCCTGTGGAGTAGCCTTGTTTGCAAGAAGTAGTAATTTGAAAAAGAAAGAAAGAAAAACTCTTACCAAACTAGGTGCAGAAGGAATGTACCGCAATATTATAAAGGCCATATATGAGAAGCTCACACCTAACATTTTGTGCAACAGTAAAAAATTGAAAGCCTTTTCTCTAAGATCTGCAATAAGACAAAGATGCCCACTTCTTGCCATATGCAACATAGTACTGGAAGTCTTTGCCAGAGTTATTAGACAAAAGAAAGAAGTAAAAAGTAAGATAAATAATCATTGGTGAGAAAATGGTCTTATATATAGAAAATCTTACAGATTTTACCAAAAAACTGTTACAGCTAATAAACAAACTCGGTAAAGTTGCATGATACGAAATCAACACACAACAATCAGTAGCATTTCTATACAGTAACAGCGAACTATCTGAAAAAGAAATCAAGGTAATAATCCCATCTACGATAGCTGCAAAAAAAGAGAAGATACTTAGGAATAAATTTAACCAAGGAGGTGAAAGATTTGTACACTGAAATTTATGAAGTAATGATGAAAGAAATTGAAAAAGGCACAAATAGGAAAGATATCCTATGTTCATGGATTAGAATAATTAACACTGTTAAAATATCCATACTATCCAAAGCAACCTACAGATTCAATGCAATCTCTATCAAAATTCCAATGTTTGAAGCTTGGTCTAGGAGGATCTATTGTATTCTCTCAAAGGATAATCTATAGGGCACTTGATTGACCAGTGGCTTGAACAAAAATATAAGACAAAATCAATAATTTATCTCCCATAAAACATGCAGGGAGATAACTTGAACTTATCTATATTCCACTCTGCTTTTCTTTAGATTGTATGCCTTGTAAAAGTCAATTTTTCCAAAAGTCATTCTTTCTTTCAAAGCATATTGTTTGCAGTCTTGAAAATAAGAGCAGAGAGGAAAGTTCTGTGTTGAGCCTGATATTTTAACACCATAGGCACTCCAAAAGTTATTTTTACTTTGAACAAATACAAAAATAATGCATAAGTTTATTCCATCCTGATTTGCCCCCAGCTGGCTGACTTCATTGGTTCATAAATTGCCCATGATCATTGAATTGACGTAAAGCCTTGAGCAGATGAATTTTATGGTCAAGATTTGCTGAAAAATATATTTTTTCTCTTCTTGAGAAATATCGCTCCCTCAAAGAAAGGGAGGATTAACTCTGGGGTATTGACTTCCTGCTAAAGGGGACTTGGAGACCATTGTCTTTCCACAGCCAAAAATTAAAAATAAATAAATCAAGGCTTGAATCCTTTCAACAAATTCAAAGCAACTCCAGTTAGGCACTACAAATATTTAAGGGTACACACAACACTTTAAAAGTAAAATGTATCTACTCTGGCAGCTGGTAAGTGGCTATTTTGCATTGCAAATTTACCACAAAGCTTGTTACTTACCTATGTGCCGGAAGACGCCACCCTGCAATCTCAGAACGATGCCCCTGGGTTCTCTCTGTGGACACAGTGGTGGGTCTGCATGGAAGAGCCCTCTCTCATACTGTTGCAGGATCCACAAAGACTTTTAGCCCCCTAAAGAGGCAGGAGCCCCGTGAGAGTGAACCCACAAGGCAAGTCATGCCAATAAATCCAGCCAAGTGGAAACCACTAGTCAGACAGGAAGATCACGGACAAGTCTGATTCCCATAAAATGGAATGTAAATAATTTCCCTTTCTCTTCCACAATTTATTTTTCAGGCAAAGGAATTTAATATATAATAGGGACTTGGCTGATCTCAAAGGCAGGCTATTTATAGACTCTCATTGACAAGCTATTAGTCTTAAAGATAAATCTCTCCTCTCGTCCTCAACACAACTCATTGACTTGCCCTCCCTCTCTTCCCTCCTCTCTTTCTTCTCTTCTTCTTACAAAGTAAAGCAAAAGAGAGGTCTTAACTGCTGATCATGACTGGTTATTCTGCCGGGAGAGTTATTTTCCACAGTCATGCAACCTAGAGGCACTAATGAATCAATTTTCTGTCTTGGAGGTTACTGCTTGTATTACTTTATTTTCCATCATGGCTTATGTTTCCTATACAGGATCCTTAGGTACCTCCCCAAAGCATCATATTCCTCCAGGCTGTGCTGGCTCTTTGGGTAGCACTGTATGTACTTTCCTCCTATCTGATTTTGCACAGGATGGCTTTGGCTCTGGGACATTGTCACCCCTCTCTCCCTGGGACAGAGCAATGAGGCAAGACAGACTGGGAGACCCCAGGGAAGTGAGGTGGAGGAACAGGCACCCCAGGTAGCAAGGATGATGAGAGTCAAGAGGAGACCCACCTTTTCCCATCGTCTCACCTCCCTAGGACATGCTCACTTTATTTTGTGTCAACTGACACACATTGAGTACCTGCCTTGTGCTAGTTGGCATGAGAATAAAAAGTGAGTAGGGCAGAGTCTCCACCCATGGGCTGATTCTTGGGAGGCCGCACAGGTAAGCAAGCATTCCCAGCATGCAAGGATCCTCCTTGTATGGTGACTTTGACCAAAGTAGGTACAAAAAATTGCTGTTGGAGCCATGAAAGATCAATTTACATTTTCCTGAGTTCCAGGAAAGGTCAGATCCAGTTGTCACAAGCAAGTACCATGGTCTTGTCTATGTCACCATATGGACATACTTAGAGGCTCCACACACACACATTGCTTTGTACAAGAGCAAAATGCAGAGAATGAAGGCAATAGCCAACTCTCAGTTATTGGTGGCTTCCTTTCTCCAGCTGTTGGACTAATTCTTACTACTGACAGCAGGAACCCAGGAGGCATCTGGGGCTGGTCTCCTTTGGTAGAATGGCTATGTGTGTGTGGGGCGGGGGGTAGCGGAGGGGGCTGCTTTCCATAAACAAGGTCAGATGGAATTCACATTGGATGTTGGCTTGGATTTGGGGGAAAAATTGAGTGGGCAATAGAATAAGGAGCACAGGCTCGGGAATCAGGACTCGGATTTGAATCATAGTCCCATCACTTTCTAACTTTGTGATTCTGGAAAAATAAATTCTTTGGCCCCAGTTTTCTCATCTGTAAAATGGGCATAACTGGCCAGGCATGGTGGCTCACACCTGTAATCCCAGTACTTTGGGAGGCCAAGGCGTGTGGATCACTTCAGGTCAGGAGTTTGAAGCCAGGCTGGTCAACATGGTGAAACCCCGTCTCTACTAAAAATACAACAAGTAGCCAGGCATAATGTTGTGAGCCTGTAATCCCAGCTACTCAGGAGGCTGAGAGGCATCACTTGAACCCAGGGGGCAGAGGTTGCAGTGAGCCAATATTGCACCATTGCACTCCTGCCTGGACAACAGGGCAAGACTCTGTCTCAAAAAATAAAAAATAAAATGGGCATAATGATTTTGTTTGCCTCATTGAGTTGTTGTAAGAGTTAAAGGAGTAGGGTAGGTATAGTGGCTTATGCCTATAATCTCAGCACTTTGGGAGGCCGAGATGAGAGGCTCACTTGAGGCCAGGAGTTCCAGACCAGCCTGGGTAACATAGTGAGACCCTGTCTCTAAAAAAATTTTAAAAATTTAGCCAGATATGGTGGCACCAGCCTGTAGTTCCAGCCACTTGAGAGGTTGAGGTGGGAGGATTGCTTGAGCCCAGGAAGTTGAGGCTGCAGTGAGCCACAATCGCACCACTGCACTCCAGCCTGGGTGTTAGAAGGAGACTTCTGTTGGGGGAAAAAAAAAGTGCTAGAGGAGATTCATGTACTTAGTAAACATTAGTGATTATGATCATTGCTGTTCTTTTGTTTATATTTGTTATCTACATATTGTATTTATGAGGTTCAGGAAGTCCAGGCTCAGTCACAGGCTCTGGCGTGGGGCAGAGTGGCTGCAGTGTTGCTCACACACCGAACGTGCAGGACCAGGGCCATCCTAGGTACAGCCCCTCACCACATGGTATGATTTGAAGCCATAATGTCCAGCTGCCCTCAAATGCCTCTTCTAAAATCCTACTGTGTTAACCTTTTTTTTTTTTTTTTTTTTTTTGAGATGGAATTTCAGCCTTGTTGCCCAGGCTGGAGTGCAATGGTGCGATCTTAGCTCACTGCAACCTCTGCCTCCCAGGTTCAAGCAATTCTCCTGCCTCAGCCTCCCAAGTAGCTGGGATTATAGGCATGCACCACCACGCCTGGCTAATTTTTGTGTTTCTAGTAGAGACGGGGTTTCACCGTGTTGGCCAGGCTGGTCTCAAACTCCTGACCTCAGGTGATCCACCTGCCTTGGCCTCCCAAAGTGCTGGGATTACAGGCATAAGCCACTGTGCCCAGCCCCGCATTAACCTTTAAAGTGACAACCACTGTGTAGTGGTAAAATGTCAACTTGCCCTTGTCTGGGGAAAGACAACGCATTTACCCTTTTCTACCTGACAGAGATACCTTAATACATCCTCAAGCACTGGGTACAGCTGGGACAACCCCTTCTGGCTTGGTAAGGGAGAAGGGGGACCAGGCATGAGCAGTCAGGCATGGGGAAACCAGTCAGGAGCCCTGAGGAGCCTGGGACAGGAGGATGGTCTCCTGTATAGGATGTATAGGATGGCTCCTGTATAGGAGACAGTGTGGGGGTGAAGCATGTGGAGTTGGAGGCTGGGACATAAGGCCTGGTGCATAGTAGGTCCTCAATAAATATTTGCCATTAAATGACAGGGCCTGGAAAGAGGGAGCTGGGCACTGGCAGGCGTGGCTTGTCACCAGTGTGTCCAGGGTTGGCCCAGCCCAGCCAAAGCCAAGGTGCCTTGCCGGCCAGGAAGGCAAATGGTAGGCTTTCTCAGCCCATTCTAAGGCCCGGAGGAAGCCTTTGTCCCTGCAGCAAGAACCCCTAATTCAGCCGTTTCTGGGAATCAAGGCTTCCCCTAAGTGGCTTCTTCTATGACTGGGCAAGACAGTCAATTGCTGGCTTACAGAGAGGAGGGGAAAGCTTTCCATGCCTGCTCTTGGCAATAGCAAGGTTGGTGACATTAGGCTTCAGGAACTTGGGACTTAATCCTTTCTGCTAAGTACCTGCAATTCTGAGAGGCTGGGAAGCTCACATGAAATAATAAAACCCAGCCCTAGCCGAGGTCCGGGGCTATACAGACCCTACCAAGGGGTGCGGCGGCTACTTTCACTGTCCTTAAAATGATGCACGTTGCTGCCATCTAGTGCGCACCAGCAGAACTTTTTAGTTTTTAAAAATGGAATCGCAATTCATAGGTTGGGCACAGTGGCTCATGCCTGTAATCCCAGCACTTTGGGAGGCTAAGACGGGAGGGTTACTTGAGGCCAGAAGTTCGAGATCAGCCTGGAGAACATAGCAAGACCCCCCCCCCAACACCCGCCCCACCACCACTCCCTTCCCATCTCTACAAAAAATTTAAAAAGTTAGCTAAGCGTGGTGGCTCACACCTGTAATTCCAGCACTTTGGGAGGCTGAGGTGGGAGGATGACTTGAGCCCAGGAGTTTGAGACTAGCCTGGGCAACATAGTGAGACTCCATTCCATCTCTATAAAAACAATAATTATAATTTGTTTGTTGATTTATTGAGTTCTAATCTTCTGTTCTTGGTCTGAGGTGACCTAGTTCAAATCATGAGCAGTAAGCGTTATTATTACACCTCTCAGTTTGATATGATAGGTTCAGGCACCAAGAGTAAAAAGTCCCCTTTTCTAGGCCCAGTGCTGCCTCTTACTGTGAGGGCAGTGGGGCAGTCACGGAGCCTCCTGATGTGGTTTTCCTCATGTGTAAAATGGACTCGCCATCCCGTTCCTGCCCACGGTCAAGTATTGCGAGAATTGCAGTTTCACATATTCATTCATCCAGCACAAGGGTACCAGGCACAGGAGCCCTGGGTGAGTAAGGAAGCCAGGGCTCCTGCCGTGGGGGAGATGGCACTCTATGGAGGAAAATAGAGATCACACACTCACACACACGTGCACATGCATGAACACACACACACAATGGACAAAGCATGGAGCCATTTCTCACAGTGACTGGTAGAAGTCCTACCTCCTCCATTCCTTGCTTCCAATCGCTTTCCTTTCATAATAGGCCAATTCTTTCCTAAAACACAAACCTGAGCCTCTTACCACTTGCAGAGAGACCTTCCTCCTTGTCAATATCATAAAGTTCAATTTGCTCTATCATGGAAGCTACAGTACCAATCACAGCAGCCAGCTTCCTCAAGCTGCTTATGGTTTTCTGATACAACAACAGGTAACTTTTACCACGTGCCAGGTGTTTTGCTCAGTGCTTTATATATCAATTTGCACATTCATCTTAAGAGTGATATTGTGTTATTACCCTCCCCCATTTATCTACAGGGAAACTGAGGCAGAGAGAAGTAAAGGAATATGTCTAAGGTCACACAGCTCGTACATAGCAGCCTGGAACTGAAACCCAGGTCTCTGACTACGGAGCCCGTGTGCCCTTGCCCACTTGGCCACACTGCCATATGCCGCTTCCTCCCCGGCAATGCTGCGCCTTCCCTCCCTTCACATCTGGTGGGTCGGCCTTTTCATGGCCTCCTGGTGAAATCTCGCCAGTTGCAGATGAGCTGACTCAAGCATCCTGCCCACGAGACTGCTCCTGACACCCACGTGATAACTGCTTTCCCACTGCCAACGCCGGAAGCCTCATTCAAAGGTG